AATTCCATGCCTGTGTGGATTCAATATATATTTTCTATATATTCCTTTCCATTAGTCATACTGTCTATCCTTGTGATTAAAACTTTCTTTAAGAAACTCTAGAATCGGGCAGCCCAGGTGGCTCAGCGGTTTAGCACCGCCTTCAGCCCAGGGTATGATCCTGGAGTCCTGGGATTGAGTCCCATGTCGGGCTCCCTGCATGGAGCCTGCTTCTCCCTTTGCCTGTGTCTCTGCCTCTCTCTCTGTGTGTCTCTTAAGAATAAATAAATAAGATCTTTTTTTAAAAAAAAAAGAAAGAAAGAAAGAAAGAAAGAAAGAAAGAAAGAAAGAAAGAAAGAAAGAAAGAAAGAAAGAAATTCTAGTTATCACACTGTTTGTGGCTATCAGGATAAATGTCTTCTATCTTCTTGGTAAGCTCCTAAGTCAGTCATGGCTATGACTGACTCATCTTTTTATTTCCTATAACATCAATATCAGTATTTCTAGATTGTAAATTTATATACTAAATAAGAGATGAGGTCAATAGCAATACTGCTTCCCACTATAAAGTCATAAATACTCCCCCCTCTAAAATCATTACCTTAAGAGAAAAAAAATTATGTATGTATTAGCTGTGTTTTATTATTTTCTGTATTCTTGATGCTCTGCCATCTAGGGTTTTCCTGACCAGGAAGAGACCACTCCTCCGAGGATTAGCTAACTCCTAGAGATAGCAAACAGTTCATGTGTCTTTTATATGCAAACCCACCAATCCAACACTCATATGTCCCAAATATCTCCTTTATCCAGCTGTTACACATCAAGGCCTAACCACTCCAGGGCAGGTACCAGGCAACTGGTCAATGCTCCAAAGTCAGTTGAATTTATTCAAACTAGCTAATCTTCAATGTGCTTCATCGACCTTGCCTTGAAATGACAATAAAGGCTGCTGTCTATGTTTTCTTCTCTCTCTCCCCCAACTCCTTGTGCTTCTCCACGTGTTCCTCCTTTCCCCAGCATGGATTACCATGGCCCTATTTCCAGGGACCTATGAGTATAAAATTTTACCCTCATAGCAATTATTTCTATGTCTTTATGTCTTACCATATTTGATTAAAACAAATCCCTATTTTTAAAGAAGAAAAATAAAGTTAGCTGTTATTTTCAGCAAACACATAATAATGTAAATGAGAAAACAAATATAAAACTATTAGTTTGCCAGTGATGAAGGAATTCAAGAATTTAGAAGCAGTTTATTATCCTAATTGGTAGGCTTGCTTATTCAATGGGAAAAAAAGATACACTCAAATTGTTTGATCATTCTCTTTGCATGTCCTAAAGATCAGGCTAACATGAGTTTTATTCTGTATATTTATGAAGAAATTGTTCTCTTAAGAACAGAAAGTTAAATTCAGAACAGTGATAATCCTTAAACCTTATCATATTACAGTTTGTCCTTTTCACAGATTACAAGATGAACTATTGAACTGAGTGTACTGATTCTCTATATTAGTATTTCAAAGAAGAACTAAGTATTTGGAGGAGTTAATCACAACATAGAGTGCATCATATAAGATTACCTCACACAAGTTTATTAAATTGACCTGTCCCACGCATACTCTGAAATGGGATCTAAACTAATCTTTCCAAAGGACAGACAAAAGAAGTAGGCACCCAATTTTCTTTCTTTTCAATAAAAATAATTAAAGCTAGTTCTTAAGTAAATTCAACTTATTGAAAAGTCATGATTGCCCTTGACAGTACTATAATGATGATTTCCCTTAGATAATCTGTATACTAGATCCAAAGAAGCCATTTATTCCATAAATGTATAAATAATTCTCAAATAATTTTAAAGGGGTTTGCAGTAGTAATTTGAACAGCAATGCAGTAGAAAGGAGTAGACATAGCACTGCACTGGAGTCAAAACACTTTGGAAGCCAGTTCCAACTCTGGCAATTACTTTCTGGCTAGATAATATGATTTCTCTGGGTCTCAGTTTCCTCATTTCTAAAATAGCATTTATAAGACTTGGCCTGCTTGCCAAACAGAATCAGAGAAGATACCTCAAGTCTTTGTAAATGGTTATATCTCTTATAAATTCACAGTATTATTTAAAGTTATTATATATATCTATGTATCATTATATGTAAAGAATTTTAAATAATTTTTAAAAGAATAAAAAGTTTGAGAAGCACCAATTGCTACCCAACAATTTATAAAACTAAGCACATGATTTTGCCAATCATTTTCTCACTGACTCTGAAAGGCTTCTACTATTGGCAGCTTTGAAAACATAGGCCAAAGATGTCCACTGTCTTTTAAGGACAGCACTACAGTATCATAAGGCAATGCATTATTCACTTACAGTTAAATGGTTTGTTTTTCTTTGTTCATGAATTTATTCTAAATTAAAATACACATTAAAGACACATTAAGATCATACTTCTTAGTCTTATCTACACCAGTTTTCTATGTACATTTTATTAAATTTTGATATTACTCCATCAGCAATTTCCAAGAATATTAGAGATTGGTTAAATATTATTTCATATTAATGAAAACCAAACTTTGCTTGGTTAAAAAAAAAAACTAAGCCAAAATTTTAGCCTTTATTTACAATTTTAAAATGATTTTTAGCAATTTGTGCTTTTTAGTTTGCTTTTGTTTTCTTAAAACAGAGAGAACTGCACATAAGCATGAATATGGTGGGCCAGGAAGGACTTGTGTGCGTGTGTGTGTGCGTGCATGTGTATAGCTAAAATTGCACAATGCTTCCACATGCACTGTACTGGTCACCTGATTTATGTGTTTACATATTTATTCCTCCAACAACCCTATAATAGGGACTATTATTACCCAAATTTTACAAAAAAGAAATTATAGAGAGATTAACTTGCCCAAGGCCACCCCCAAATTCATTGGCAAAGCCTGGATGCAGCTCCAGAAAGTTTGCCTTTGTAATCTATTCATGAATCTTTTTTATTTTTATAAATTTATTTTTTATTAGTGTTCAATTTGCCAACATACAGAATAACACCCAGTGCTCATCCCATCAAGTGCCCACCTCAGTGCCTGTCACCCAGTCACCCCCACCCCCCTCCCCTTCCACTACCCCTAGGTTCATTTCCCAGAGTTAGGAGTCTCTCATGTTCTCTCTCCCTTTCTGATATTTCCCACTCATTTTTTCTCCTTTCCCCTTTATTCCCTTTCACTATTTTTTTATATTCCTCAAATGAATGAGTCCATATAATGTTTGTCCTTCTCCGATTGACTTATTTCTACTAAAGATGTTCAGAAAGATAGAAAGAGATGGAATACTTCCAAACTCGTTCCATGAGGCCAGCATCACCTTAATTCCACAACCAGACAATGACCCCACCAAAAAGGAGAATTATAGACCAATATCCCTGATGAACATGGATGCAAAAATGCTCAACAAGATACTTATCAACAGGATCCAACAATACATTAAGAAGATTATTCATCATGACCAAGTAGGATTTATCCCGGGGATGCAAGGCTGGTTCAACACCCGTAAAACAATCAATGTGATTCATCATATCAGCAAGAGAAAAAACAAGAACCATATGATCCTCTCAATAGATGCAGAGAAAGCATTTGACAAAATACAGCATCCATTCCTGATTGAAACTCCTCAGAGTGTAGGGATAGAGGGAACACTCCTCAGCATCTTAAAAGCCATCTATTAAAAGCCCATAGCAAATATCATTCTCAATGGGGAAGCACTGGGAGCCTTTCCCCTAAGATCAGGAACAAGACAGGGATGTCCACTCTCACCACTGCTATTCAACATAGTACTGGAAGTCCTAGCCTCAGCAATCAGACAACAAAAAGACATTAAAGGCATTCAAATTGGCAAAGAAAAAGTCAAACTCTCCCTCTTCACCGATGACATGATACTCTACATAGAAAACCCAAAAGACCCCCCCCCAACAAGATTGCTAGAACTCATACAGCAATTTGGCAGTGTGGCAGGATACAAAATCAATGCCCAGAAGTCAGTGGCATTTCTCTACACTAACAATGAGACTGAAGAAAGAGAAATTAAGGAGTCAATCCCATTTACAATTGCACCCAAAAGCATAAGACACCTAGGAATAAACCTAACCAAAGAGGTAAAGGATCTATACCCTAAAAACTACAGAACACTTCTGAAAGAAATTGAGGAAGACACAAAGAGATGGAAAAAATATTCCATGCTCATGGATTGGAATAATTAATATTGTGAAAATGTCAATGTTACCCAGGGCAATTTACACGTTTAATGGAATCCCTATCATGAATTCTAAGAATGTAATACTCAGGGGGGGAAAGTAGCAAAAAACACAGAATATATCATTTTTTGGAAGTCTAAAATCTAAATTACCTGATACTATAAAGAAATCAAGAAAATTGTTATTGAACAAATTGGGACTATGGTGACAGGAGGAGAGAATAAAAGGGATTGGAAAGGGCCTAGAGAGAACTTCACTTGTGTGGGATCCATCTATTTCTTAAGTTGGGTAGCAGGCTTACTGGTGATTATTTTATTACTACGCCCCATAATTTACATGTAGGTCACAATTCACCTTGTATGTGTCATTTTATTGTAAAAATTAAAGTAAATATTAATCAATAAGCTATTCAAACTCTTTGTGATTTGTGATACATGTGGGTTGGATGAATTATTTTTCTCTTGTTTCCAGAGTCAAGCAAATTTGGTCAGGAATGGCAGAGGCTTGGCATGAGTATCATCACTCCCTCCCATGGTGGTCAGTGGTCATTGGGATGGCTTGCTTCCTCCCATGTCTGACCACTGTTTTAGGATTTTCTCCACACAGGACTCTGAGAATTCATGACTGATTATGAACAGGTGGTTGGGACTGCCACATCAATTTCGTTGGAGGTAGCATCCACATTTTCATTGTGTCAAAGGATTCCTAGAATTCTTGCAACCAGGTTAACTCTGGGATTCCCAACTGGTAACACTGATGCCTCTTTTTCAAAGATGCAGTTACCTGTTAAGTTGGAAGCATCGGTGGGACTCAGTTGTAACCAATGGCGGGCATCGGAGTCAGTCACAACATCTGTGGGAGTGTTCAGTTCTGGGTCTTCCTCACAGGTTGACCATGGGCTCATGGACAGCTCTGCCTCATTGCTATAGCCCAGAGCTGTATCACTGCTGATACTTTCACCTGGTAAAATGGAAGAACTGAAGTATGAGATAACAAATAGCTGGAAATCATAACGCTCCCCATTACCAACATGCAAGTGACTGAACAGTTGACACAGCAGGAATAGTTTAGGGGATAGTGGCTCAAAAGCAGACTCTGTGGGAATCTTGGTCAACAAAATAAAGCTCCCAGGTACAGGCCATTAATCGTCATTAGGAGCTCCCTTACATATCACCAATTGACATTCTTTTCAAGGGAGTTTTCAATTCAGCTACCCCATATGCCCAAAAGATGACATCAAGTCCTTCAGCTTTCTACTGCAACTTACTCCACTATGAAATGGGCATGGGTGGAGGAAGGCGTGGGAATGCCTTTCACCACAAATGCAAATTTATCCTACAAGAGCCTAAGGATGCTTTTTACCTTGTGGTTCAATGTTTAAACCTAAATTCAGAGTGAATTATCAGGCTCACTGGGGGATGAGGTGTCCAACTGCAAGCAAAAGATTTTCTCCAAAAGAAATTCTCCCCTTTAAACACTAAAAAGTTCTAATTTGTCATAATACAATGATGCTTTCAAAGGCGATTAAGCCTTATAAAGCTATTTAGTCTGACACAAACCAAACCTAGACACTCTGCTCCTCCAAGTCTTCTACTTCCCAACTGTGTGAAGTTGCCCCCTGTCTGCTCACTCTTCTGTCTGCTCTTATTTGCTGCTGACAGTCCCTCAGCCTTGTTGCTTCTAATCTGCTGTCCTCTATTCACGTGCCAAGAACTGCCAGTTGCCCCAGTAACCAACTTGCTAGGTCCCTAACTTCATCTGCCACAGAACTCCAAGCCAAAAGAGTCTGAAGGTAAAGCCTAAGAAGAGCTCCTCTGCCTCCACCAAAACCACCCTAGATCTGGAGGAGATGTTTACTGTGCTTCTGAGAAGGGGGCAGCCAGGAAGCTGGCTTCAGAGAAGCAGATTATTAGAGCTATAGTTTATGGTATATAATACGTCTAAGGATTTGAACCAAATTTCATTTTTTAAATACTTATACCATTGACTTCAATGTCTTTCTGAGGCATTTTGCTCCAAGTCTGTATGAACTTTCTGGGAAGATCATTCTTCCTTCTGGGTCTGTTTGCTCACCCTTCCATTGGCCTTGGTTGTGCCTCTCAGCTGGAGAAAGGCCCAGGGTGGAAGGACAGGCCTCTATGACACACAGAATGGACTGATCTGTTTTACTATACCTGTGAACTAACCATCCATCAATCCTGGGATTCCAGGAATAAAAATGTCCCATTTCACAACCATGTCTCTTCAGAGGATATCATACAAGTCAGAAAGTAGAAGAGAATAAAATAGATTGACTCAAGTTGGACAAACACAAACCGCATTTCCTGGAACTTACTCTTCTGTCTTTCCCTACATTTTCCTTGTGTCTGCTGCAAATCATCTTTTAAATCCAATTCAGCAGGACTGCTGCTTCTTCGAACTAAGATCTTTAGACAAAAAGAAATAATGCATTTGTTACAGGAAAGTTCTGATTTTTATAAGACTGTTAAGTTTCTAGTCTCCATTTCTAAAGAAAAAGAAACAAACAATAATAATAGCAACAAAAAAATTGAATGATGTTTTCCATTTGAAGGATATGTGTTCACAAATTATTGTAATTGAATTATAAATTACTCAAGGTCTGAAATTTTTGGCTTCTCCTTTGTCAAGTGGCATCCAATTAAATTGATCTACTGAGAAGAGATGCCAATTTCTATGGAAGTAATTTAAAGTTTATTTGTACCTCTCCTTCAGCACACATACATAGTGAAACCAATTCTGCAGAAGGCTAGGTTACCCAGGAATGGTGCCGGCAGGGAAGGTGTAAACTCTACCCAGACATCTAAAGGTCACTCTGTGCCTCCTTATTAAATGTGCAGCAGACCTTCTGGGGCAACTCCACACTAAAACATTGGAGAACTAAAACATTTGGAGGCAATCTGTATACTCTAAAATGTATAACTTGCTTGGAGACAAAACACACATTACACAAAATGATTACAGTGTACATAAGCAAAATATGCTCTCTAAAAGGTATGCAGAATAAAGTGTTACCTTAATTGGCTCACAGTTACAGGAGAGCTGTTCAAGAAGGCAACAGACATGAAGTGGTAGAGAGAAGGCAGGAGGGGATTCAAGGCAGGAAGCACTGAGTGGTAATCAGCAAGTTCTATGTGCAGGAAAAGAAGCTGATTATATAGCAGGCCATGCAAGGCAGTCAGGTGAAGAAGGAAAATGTTAAGAAGAAAATGCAGACCACCTTCTAAAAGAGGTAGCTGCCAGGGGGCCTTCAACATCAGGCTACAATTTCAACCCAATATTGACAAAATGAACAACTGTGTGTCCCAGACAATAGTTTACCGTGATTAAAATATAACTAGAAAGGTAAGTCTAGTCGTCATCTGTGGGATAGATTAAAATTAAGAAGAAAACCGCAATGAAATTGTTGTAGTGATTAAGGAATGAAAGGATACAGCTTTAGATGGTAGAAAAGGAGAAGAAGAGACAAATAAGAGAATGCTGCAGAATGACAGACAAGAGCTTATATGAGAGCTATATATGAGAGTGAAGGAAAATTAAATCACAAAAGGATATGAATCTAGGGGACCATGAGAACGATGATAACAAAGGAAGGAAGGAAGGAGAAAAGGAAGGAAAGAAGGGAGGGAGGAATGAAAGAAGCAAAGAAGAAAGCATAAGAACAAAGGAACTTTAGAAGATTTCTGATATTTTAATTTTCATCTTTGAGCTAAATACTCAAAGCAAAGGTACTGTAAGCAGGCAACAAAAATCCAGGACTAGCAAGATAGAGGAGAAAGTCAGGAATGAAGATGTAAATTTAAGGTCCTCCAGTGCAAAGTGTATAGAAAACCTGGGGTTCGATGAGTCAACTAAAAGGAAGAATACTAAACAAGCAAAGGAATGAAAAGGAAGGGCTGAGATGTATAATTAAAAGACAGAATAATTATGAAGCTAAAACACAAAAGTAGCTCATATATGAAATATTCAGAAGACTAACAGCACATGAAAAAATATTACCCAGCCTTAAAGAAGGATGATATACATACTTAATATGATAATAGAAACATGCCCAGGATCTTTCCTTAACTAAAAAGCAGAATGTGGGCACTTCTGCTTCTGACTATACAAGACTGAATTTCTTCCAGCTATAGAACTAGATTTAACATAAGAATTTCAAGCTCACAGGAAGTAGAATAAACCTCCCAGTGATCCACACTCCCCTCACAAACTGAGCAAAAACCAGAGCAGTGAAATAGGGCTGTCATAAGGGTAAATCTAGTATTACCACTGCCACGAGCAAAAGCACTGAAAGTCCAGGACTAAAGTAGCACTTCTTGGTTCCTGGAAGAAACAAATGTACGTGTTGTCCTGGTGAAACTCCATCACCTCATACATCCAGGTTTTCTGTAGATGAAGACCCATCAGCTAGGAACTCACAATCAAAGATCACCAAACAGCCAAGGAAATAAATCATCATGTTATAAGAGTCTCAAAAACAACAAATAACAGATTTGGACCCTATTGCCACACCCAAGGATTTCAGATAATCTGAAAAAGAATTTAGAATTCTAATTTGTGATTATTTTAAAGGAATAAAAGATGGGAATCACAAAAGTGAGCAAGCAACAAGAGATTATTAGAAATTATAAGAAACGCTTGAAAAGAATTAACCTGAACTTTTAGAAGCAAGAGTTATAAATTATTGAACTAAAAAACTCAGTGGAAGTATTAAACAGTCAACTCTATATAAGAGAGTAAAGAGAGAACTACTGAACAAAAACATATCTGATGAATTACCCAGAATGTAGAAGAAGGCCAAGAAGAGTGGAAAATATGAAAGGTGACAAGAACATGGAAGACAAAATGAGAAAGTCTAAATGCATTTCTACCCAAATTCCAGAAAAAAAGAACTGATAGAACAAAAAAGGCAGTATTTAAAGAAATGATGACCAAGAATTTTCCAGAAACACTGGAGGAAGAAGCATTCACAGATGCATGGTATACGGCATACAGCATATAAAAAAATGACAAATGTATAAGCCAAAAGAAAATGCACCTAAATATAATGCAAGAAGACTGATGGACGAGGACAAAGAACAGCAAAGAACAACAACTGGAGAGAATGGACAGAATGGACAGAAGAACTCTCAATAACAGCAATGAAAGACAAGACAGTAGAAGAATAGCTTCCAATAGAAGGGGGGAAGAAGGGAGAAAGAAGTAGGGCAACTATTAATTAAGATGTTTTACTTATTGTCCAGAGAGACAAAGGAACCAGTGAGTCAAGAAAAGTATATAAGAGAGAAAGGTGTCATCTGAAAGATCAATGAAGGAGAAATGAATTAGATAAATGGGGGTTATCCATGTGGGAAAAAATAAAATTAGATCCTACTTCACTCCATAAGCAAGAATCAATTCCAGATGGATGAAAGACCTAAATATGTACAGCAAAACTGAAACATTTATAAATATTTTTATGCTTATAGAGTTGGCATTTTAAGATTTTCATAAAACCTAACCATAAAAATGTTTAACAAAAATACCAAAATCAAGAACTTCTGTTCATCAGCAGACATCTTTAAAAGAGTGAAAATATAAGCCACACGTTGGAAGAAGATATTTGCCAGAAATGCAACCAAAGTAGGATCAGTCTTCAGACTACATGAAGAATTAGTACAAATAAAAGAGGAAAAGACAAAAAAAAAAATCAATAGGAAAATGGCAAAGACATAACAAGAAACACACATGGTCAATCAACATGTGGAAAGATTTTAAATTTTATTAGTAATTGAAGAAATGCAAAATAAAACGAGATCCCATTTTCACCCACCTGACTCAAAAATTTTTAAATCTGACAATAGCAAGTGTTGGTAAGAATGTGGATGAATGGGAACTCTTAACACATTGCTGGCAGAATTATAAGTGGTGCAATCCCTTCAGAAAGCACACATTCTCTTGTAAAAAACATTCTTCTACTTTAGATCTCATTAATTCCACTCCTAGATAATCACCGTAAAGGAAATCTCAAACATGTAGATCTTGAAACATATACAAGAATATACATAGTTATATTTTTCATTAAAAAAGTTGAAACACTCTAAATATCCATTAACATGAGTATGAAAAAATAAATTGTGGCATATTCATCATGGGTTGTCATACAGCAGAGAAAACAGGCTCTATGCCATTGATGATAAATCTTATAAATACGTAACTAAGTGAACAAAGCAATATTATCACTTTAATAAAGTTTAAAAATAAGGAAAACAAAAGGAATATTGTTTGGAAATACATATATATAGAGCAAAACTACAGAGCAAAGCAAGGATGTGATAAACACAAAGCCAACATAAATGCTGCTTTCTGAAGGGACAAGGAAAGAACTTACAGACCCAAGCAACAGCACTGGAAAATGTCTAGTTCTTAAACTGGGTGGTGGGCATGTAGGTGCTTATCTGATTGTTGAAATATACATATATGTATGGAATATATGTATATATTGTTGAACTATACCTACACATATATACAGAATATACATACATAAACTGGTATATGCTCTTTTAAAAAATACAAAAAACTTCACAATTGTTATCTTCTGGGGAGGGAGGGAGGGCTACGGAGAGGGTTTCTGTTTATTTTGCACCTTTCTATAATGTTTGAGTTTTTATTATATATACTACATTTTTTAAATGACTAAACAGGAGTTACCTGCATGCATGAGATATGGGTTATTTTTTAATTTTCATCTTTATACTTCATATTTGATCTAAAAAATGATAAATGCTATTTTGCATTTTTCTAAAAAAAGAAATTATGACTGATCTTTGCAAAAATTCAGTTATCTAGCAACTTGTGTGGAGCATACTACCTAAAGCAGTATTAGGAACAGGGAATGTGAATATATGTATGACAAGCAAGGATGCAAGCTTAAAAATATAGAGTACCATATACAGGCCAGAAGGTAAATTCCACTTTAATGCTTTTTTCTACTTTTATAATGTGACTGTAATTTTACACAGAAAGCAGGAAAGCCTTTAAGAGATTTCAATAACCAATAACCAATTGCCAATAACCCATCTAAATGGAGAAATGTTTTAAAAGGCAGTATCACTCCCACTAATAAATTTATTTCGCCAATAATTTATATGCTTATTTTTAATAACAAACTGATACAGTTTAAAAATATCTTACTGTTATTCCTTCATGTTCTTTCTTCGCATGTCCTTTATTTTCTTGAATAGGCCTGGACTCTGAAGAACTCAAAGTCTGTAAGTTTTCTACCTTTGGGCCTAAAGATTTGGGAGGGAAATTTACAAAATAAAATTTCAGATGATAAAATTGATAAAATATTTTTACATAGAAGTAACTAATCAAATTTAGATATCCTACAATCCATAAAAACAGGAGTTATGGATCTGGCAAACTGGTAGCCTACGGATTAAATCTACTCTATAGAATCTTTGACCCACAGAGAGCTTTTAAGAGAGTGAACTGAATGCTACTCACTGTAGCATAGCACATTATGTTAGCACAGGGGAGGGCAACAAGACCTCTCCTTAGGGGCCTTCAGAAAGGGATCTCAGAGGAAAGCCACAAGCCAGGTGAGCTGACAGGAAAATAGAGCAGTAATCTGGCTCAGTATTACTCAAGAGTAAGGACTGATGAAAGAAAGCACAAATAACCAGAATCAGTGATAAAAATGGAAATATCACCACAAAGCCTGTAAACATTCAAATAAGGGCCAATAGATTTTTTGAAAAATACTCGAATGGAACAAACTCCTAAAAACACACACACACACACACACACACAACTTAATCTGAATCCAAAAAGGAAAAGGAAAATCTTAATAGTCTTAAAATGACTTATTAATTTGAATGGTATTTTAAAATCTTCCTAAAGTAAGACTCCAGGCAACTGATGGGTTCTACCAAATATTTAAGGGGAAGAAAAATAACAACAGTCTTACACAGAACCTTTCAGAGAATAGGAAATCTTTCAGGTAATACATATCTCAAGTTATTTCTTATTGTATTTTCTTATTTCAAGAAGATTTCTAAGAGGGAACACTTCCCTACTCTTTCAATGAGGCTAGAACTTGTTGATAAGGAAGTTGGTTTATTTCTCACTTAACTGATGAAACTAGAACTAAATGATAAGCATGCTCATTGGCACCAGACACAACTGAAACATGCACTTTCCCTGAAAACCACATTGTTCACTGTTTACGTTTAGCCATCTGCCTCTTGGCTTTCCATGCTCTGTTGCTGCTGAGAGGTGTCAGAGACATCATGTAGATGCATGTTATCACAAGTTATTGTTTCAACCTCAGAGCATCCACAAGCTGCTAGTAAACTTTTTCACAATTCCAGCTAGCCCTCCATGCTCACAGCCAACCTTTAGGGTTCTCCTCACACAGCTCAGCCCTTTCCCACATACCCCTCCCCTGCCTCCTGCCTCATTCTGCTGCCCTCCCTGACTCTATACTGCAGCCTTCTCTGCTTCCCCCCTGTTCCAGCTCCTCTGGACTTCTCTCCAGTCCTCAAACAGGCTATTCTTAAAGAGGTGCACCTAACTATATGTAATTTAGATAAATGTATTCAAATAAACAGTGACACCATTTCATTGCCAGAAGTCACATCCTTGCAATCAACTTAAAAAGAAAGTTCCCTTACAATAAATTAAGTAGGGTTAGAATTAATGTAGAAAGCAATATGGCATGCAGCTCCTTCTCAGCCAGGATGTGCAGTCCTGTATTAGTAACTGCAGCTACTTCGTACCCTGAGAAGAATCTGAGTGCAGTGGCTCAGTGACATCAGGTGTGCTGCTGCTCCGAGTGATGTGCTGCTGCTCCACCACCAGGCAGCCAGATTCAGCTGCAGGTGCATTTTCTGACTGCTGACATTCTTCCACTTCTGTGGGCGCAAACACAAAACATGCAGAGGTGTATTTCAAGATTTTTAAAAATAATTTCACCACTTGAACAGATTCTAAAAATGTAGTTTTAGATACTTTTTTCCCCACAAAAATTATATATTATATACTGCATTTATAACATACAGTTTCTATACTTATTAACAGTAATATTCCACTCCAAGAATACGTTTTAAGTTCTGCAAAGCATTTTATTTTTCAAAGTGAAGAAAAAAAAGCTGCAGAAATGGTTGAGACCTGTAAAAGTCACCTGGAATTTAATGGACAATAATGCCAAGGAACGAGAGAACCAGGAGATACATGGAATAGGTAAATTTGAGAGTAGAAAGTCACACACATACCCCTCTCTAGGAACATAAAAGGAAATGGGAATTTCAATTCTATTACTCTTTTTAACATATAAATGCACAACTAAATAAAATACTTTAATTACTTAATAACTTATGCCACCAAATGCAATGTTGAATTAATCACTAAGTACAAAAATGATCCACTGGTATTTTTAGAGAACCAATTCATAAATGTCACAAAATAGAAAACCATAGATGAGTACTGACCATTGGATAATAATAGCTAGCATTACAAACTATATTCTCCTAGAGAATGAGTTCGTTACTATGTGGCTCCAGAGAGGTCCCTCTGAAATAAAGATCTGCCTGCACCAATTGTCTCCTGCCAAGGTTTTTTGTCACTGTACAGTCAAGACTGTGTTCCTCAATAAATAAACCACTCCATCTGACCTCACCCCATAGATGTGATCCCCCACAGGAGCTCTCACTCACTTTAGTCTCAAGCAATCCTAGCCCACCTGCACCTGTTACTATCTCCTTTTGGCTGCTCACTCCTCCATGCTAATAGACCTGTTCCTGCCTGCCTCCTTGCCTCCCGTGCTACCTGGACACCCCTCCTAAAGGACTTGCCTGTATATAAACCTGCCACTGCATCCCTCAGCACTCACTCACAGAGTCATGAAACTTTACATCTATAGAGCTGTAACATATTTTCCAAAAAATTTAATTATCTGAAGCTTTACTCCTTCTAAAATAAGATGGATCAAAATTCAGCTTGTATTATCTTACCTAGCAGTGTTACCCACTCCCTCACCTGAAATGAAGCTCGTTGCCCATGTGCCAACCTCAGTGTAACTCTTTACTCTGAAGACAAGCCAAAGTGCTGGCTCTTCCTAATCAAGAAGCTGTATGTAGGAAGATTCTAAATGTAATCCACTGGACTTCAAAAAAATGGTTGCTGCTTTATATTTACTATCCAAATAAAAATTCCAATTTTTTAAATAATAATAAATTTATTTTGTATATGTGTTCAATTTGCCAACATATAGAATAACACCCAGTGCTCATCCCATCAAGTGCCCCCCTCAGTGCCCGTCACCCATTCACCCCCACCCCCCCCTCCTCTCCTTCCACCACCCCTAGTTCATTTCCCAGAGTTAGGAGTCTTTATGTTCTGTCTCCCTTTCTGATATTTCCTACCATTTCTTCTCCCTTCCCTTCTATTCCCTTTCACTATTATTCATATTCCCCAAATGAATGAGAACATACACTGTCCTTCTCCGATTGACTTACTTCACTCAGCATAATACCCTCTAGTTCCATCCACGTTGAAGCAAATGGTGGGTATTTGTCATTTCTAATGGCTGAGTAATATTCCATTGTATACATAAACCACATCTTTATCCATTCATCTTTCGATGGACACTGAGGCTCCTTCCACAGTTTGGCTATTGTGGACACTGCTGCTAAAAATTCCAATTTTAAAGTACACTTATATAAGTTACGAGACTTCAAAACTATGAAATTTGTGTGATGCTTCACTTATAATTCAGAGTACTGGGCCACAGTCTAAATGTAGACACTGATGATAGGAAGCTGAACTTGAGGCACAAGCAAACAAAGGCCAAAGCAGTAAGAATACACAGACCCATTAAAGTGCATCTTTTCCAGGTTGTCTTTGCCCTTCTCTTCTCTTGATGAGCCAGAACTGTTCATTGTCCCACAGAGACACAAGATGTACTTATCTGTGATCTCCCCACAAATCCCTATGCACAGACTAGGCTCTTTTCACAGGTCTGCTTCTAGGCTCTTCAGCATTAGGCAACAGAAGCCAGAGGATACTGTGGGACCAGTCCCTTCCGGTTGTCTTCAATCATTGTTTATTCTAATTATGCAAGACACTGAAACCTTCTGGGTACTGTTTATATTTGTTAATGAACCTACTTGTTAATCTAATATCAGTAGAGGGAGCCCAAGAGTTTCCTAATTCTCTAAAAAATAATTGGAAAATGCCAGTTTTTATGGACAGTGGGAAGAGTGGGTTTTATTCACTTAAACTTGATGCCAAAAACTGGTACATGGTGGTTTCTGGGCTAGGAGCAGAAACAAATAAGAGGAAGGCCAACACTGGCAGCATCTTTTTAAAGATAAAGAACTTTGCCATCTGGTGGGATACAGGACAGTCACAGCACCATGGCTTCCAAATTCAAGAGTCCCCAGTGGTCCTCAACACAACAGACGGATGAAGAGCCTGCCATCACCAGCTGGTGTGCCTTCCCAAAAGACTGGCCTAATGCAGCTGTAAGGCTTTGTTTTTGTAAAACTGTTGGTAGGGACTTCTCAGATGGAGAAAGTCCAAGACTGCAGAAATCACCGGAAGTGGTAAGGATGGGAGCATCCATGATGAGGGTAGAAAGGAAGAGGAGAATCACAATGTCAAACATGCTGTCAGGGCTGGTGTGCTACTGGTGCCCTGTGCTATCCCTATAGTTGACTATTAAGTGATAGAGTGTGGAAAAATAAATTCTCCTTATTTCACAATTAAAACCCAATTTCCTGATGGGCAAATGTTCATTTTTTGGCACACTCACACTTTAAGTGTATATCAATATATGTCTTGCATAATTAACAAATGAATGCAAAAAATATTTTGACACTTTTTTTTTTTTCTATTTTAAACAGTTCTTGGGCTCCCTCTGCTGGCTTTTTCTTTGTTAAGAAAGAGCTGCTTGTAAATGGGATCGACTCCTTAATTTCTCTTTCTTCAGTCTCATTGTTAGTGCATAGAAATGCCACTGATTTCCGGACATTGATTTTGTATCCTGCCACACTGCAGAATTGCTGTATGAGTTCTATCAATCTTGGGGTGGAGTCTTTTGGGTTTTCTATGTACAGTATCATATCATCTGTGAAGAGGGAGAGTTTGTCTTCTTCTTTGCCAATTTGAATGCCTTTTATTTCTTTTTGTTGCCTGATTGCTGAGGCTAGGACTTCTAGTAGTATGTTAAATAGCAGTGGTGAGAGTGGACATCCCTGTCTTGTTCCCGATCTTAGGGGAAAGGCTCCCAGTGTTTCCCCACTGGGAATGGTATTTGCTGTGGGCTTTTCATAGATGGCTTTTAAGATGCTTAGGAATGTTCCCTCTATCCCTACACTCTGAAGAGTTTCGATCTTGGATCGAAATGGAATGGATGCTGTGTTTTGTCAAATGCTTTCTCTGCATCTATTGAGAGGATCATATGGTTCTTGTTTTTTCTCTTGTTGATATGATGAATCACATTGATTGCTTTACGAGTGTTGAACCAGCCTTGCATCCCGGGGATAAATCCCAGTTGGTCATGGTGAATAATCTTTTTTAATGTAGTGTTGGATCCTGTTGATAAGTATCTTGTTGAGAATTTTTGCATCCATGTTCATCAGGGATATTGGTCTATAATTCTCCTTTTTGGTGAGGTCTTTGTCTGGTTTTGGAATTAAGATGACGCTGGCCTCATAGAACGAGTTTGGAAGTACTCTATCTCTTTCTATCTTTCCGAACAGCTTTAGTAGAATAAGTATGGTTTCTTCTTTAAACGTTTGATAGAATTCCCCTGGGAAGCCATCTGGCCCTGGACTCTTTTGTCTTGGAAGGTTTTTGATGACTGCTTCAATTTCCTCCCTGCTTATTGGCCTGTTCAGGTTTTCTATTTCTTCCTGTTCCAGTTTTGGCAGTTTGTGGTTTTCCAGAAATGCGTCCATTTCTTCTAGATCACCTAATTTATTGGCGTATAGCTGCTCATAATAAGTTTTTAAAATCGTTTGTATTTCCTTGGTATTGGTGGTGATCTCTCCTTTCTTATTTATGATTTTATTAATTTGAGTCTTTTCTCTCTTCTTTTTAATAAGGCTGGCTAATGGTTTATCTATCTTATTGATTCTTTCAAAGAACCAACTCCTGGTTTTGTTGATCTGTTCCACAGTTCTTCTGGTCTCTATTTCGTTGAGTTCTGCTCGAATTTTTATTAAACTGTCTTCTTCTGCTGGGTGAGTTTCATTTGCTGTTCCTTCTCCAGCTCCTTTAGGTGCAAGGTTAGCTTTTGTATTTGAGTTCTTTTCAGGTTTTGGATGGATGCTTGTACTGCGATGTATTTCCCCCTCAGGACTGCTTTGCTGTATCTCAAAGATTTTGAACAGTTGTATCTTCATTCTCATTAGTTTCCATTAATCTTTTTAATTCTTCTCTAATTTCCTGGTTGACCCTTTCATCTTTTAGCAGGATGGTCTTTAACCTCCACGTGTTTGAAATCCTTCCAAACTTCTTCTTGGTTTAGTTCTAGTTTCAAAGCATTATGGTCTGAAAATATGCAGGGGACAATCCCAATCTTTTGGTATCGGGTAAGACCTGATTTGTGACCCAGTATGTGGTCTATTCTGGAGAAAGTTCCATGTGCACTGGAGAAGAATGTGTGTATTCAGTTGCGTCTGGATGTAAAGTTCTGTAAATATCTGTGAAATCCATCTGGTCCAGTGTATCATTTAATGTTCTTGTTTCTTTGGAGATGCTGTGTTTAGAAGATCTATGAATTGTAGAAAGCACCGTATTCAAGTCTCCAAGTATTAGTGTATTATTATCTAAGTATGTCTTAACTTCAGTTAATAATTGATTGATATACTTGGCAACTCCCACATTCAGGGCATAAATATTCATGATT